GCCCAGACTCTGCTCTTTCCAACAATATAAGTGTCACAGCTCTACGTGAAAAATTCACCGAACAAGAAGCCATGGAATAGCGAAAAAGGCTAAATTCTGGAACCATAAACACAAACTCTTTCCTTTGTTTTTACGTCTTTAATCCACTTTGGAGTGATTTTTTTCCACTTGGCTGGACCTGTACGTCTCCTGTGTTAATGTTGGTTCATGTAATATGCTAATTCTGTACTGTGGAGATCATTAAGAGTCATTGTCGGGTGAAAAAATATTTTACTAACACTGTGTTGACCGTGAACAGGAAGTGTCAGGAGTGGCATCCAGTGCTGGGCCGGATGTCCGTGGCATGACTATTCCAACCAACCACGTCTTTAACTAACCACGCCCATAAAAGTCAAATGACCAATCATGTTCTGGACAAACTCCTCCCACAAAACACGAAACTCCCCCTTAGTGACTGCAGGCATCCCCTTCTCAGTTTTTCCGTAATTATTTTTTAAAACTGGTTTCTTTCTGTCTTGGATCACTTTAAGGATGTTCATTTGGAGTTAGCCAAACTTTACCACTGTCAAAGTTTTCGCCTCATTCACATGATAAAATACGCACTTTCCCTCCGTTGTTATTCTTAAAGGTGTTTACGCTGGTTTCTTTCTGTTTACGGTCACTGCGAAGATGTTCTGTTGGGGTTAGCCAAACATGTACAGAGTGGAGAAATTAGCAAAACGAGAAGAAAAGAGAGAGAGAGAACAATTTATTCCAGCCGAGAGAAATATACCGACACAGAAACAACAGTCCAGGTAATGTAAGCTCCACATTTTACTTTATTTTTGTTGCTAAAATTAACTTGCTAACATGTATGTTGTTGACTGGGCATGCCTGGGCAGACTTTCAGTTGTAGCCAACATTAGCGTACTTTGTTAGCCTCTGGCTTCTTTCAAGCTGTGGAAACTAGTAAACGTCTATTTGTTGCAAATAATTTTTGTTTATTTTTTTTATCAGTGTACTGTAGTGATAACCGTGTTTAATTGGCTTTTTGCGTTTTCTTCAGACAGCGACGTTAAAACAGTTTCGCTGAAGCTAACGTGGGTACAGAAACTAACTGCGGCCTAAAACTGAACTTCCTGTGCTATATTAGCAGAGATTAATGTGAAATAAAAATCATACGTTTTGGAGAATACACTTGCAGTAATGCATATCCATGATTGGCCAGTACTCGTTGGCTTAAACCATAATAAGTGTTTTAATTTTCGGATCTCGTGTTAGTTATTGTTGTTAGCTCTGTTAGCAGAAGCTTACTCATACTTAAAAACATTGACAGCTCACATAGTCCGTGTTTGGTTGACAATATGAATGAGTTTCTTTTTTTCCCCCATTGGCTTGAAGTATTCATATGTTTTCAAAACTAGTTTGATGCATGATGCTGTTTAAATTGGTTAGGATGATGGTCACTTCCTACCTAGAGACTTTATGCACCTACCTGGAGTTCTTTGTACCTGGGACACACAATCTCCATTGCATTAAGAAATTCCAACATTTAACAAGAACAACCTTTATAACATAATAATCCATATCTAAAGTGTGTGTGTGTGTGTGTGTGTGTGTGTGTGTGTGTGTGTGTGTGTGTGTGTGTGTGTGTGTGTGTGATTTGGGAGGAAAACTTTCCTGAAAAGCTTGATTTATACCTGAGAACTGATGCAGTTGAGACATTTTTCCCCACATTATACTCAATGAAAAACTGCAGTGCTGAAACCCTAGAAGGAACCTTCTACTGCACACGTCAGGCTCAAATCATATCAATTTGTTTATACAACATGCAAATTGATTTTCTGATGGAAACCATTGCTTCCTTGATTTGTGAAACATTTGTTGGTGGTTGTGCCACTGTAAGCCAGTTGTTTCTGACCGATCTCCAGTAGTGCAGTTCAGCCGTCCTGCTGCGTAAACACTAAGAAAACCAACATAACCAGTCACACATTAGTTGACACATACAGTACCTCAAAGAGTAAAAGTTTTGCCTCATGTCGAATGAGTTCTCATAGGCTACGTTCACACTGCAGGCAAATCAGATTTTTTTGACCCATCTGACTCATATCCGATTTTTTTATGACAGTCTGAACGAGACAAATCCGATTTTTTCAAATCCAATCCAGGCCGTTTCAGTATGTGGTTTTAAATCGGATATATATCTGATGTTTTCAAAGTGACTGCAATGTGAACGCTCATGTCACAGTCATCTGACTTTTTCATCAGTGAGGAGGGGGTGAAGGACCGATAAGACACTAACCTCAAGTCTCGCTGTTTAAATCTGTAGCTCCGTGTGTTTACTAGGGCTGTGTATTGGCAAGAATTTGGTGATATGATACATATCATAACAGAGAGGTCATGGTATGATATATCCCGATATATTGCGATACTACAAGCAAGGCAATATACTGTGATATATTGCGATTTTTTTGTCCAAAAATTCTATTAAATAAAAACCTCTTACTGAAAAAAAAAGAAAGAAAAGCTAATGTTTACTTACAATGCTAATGCTACCCCTTACTCTCTGGCGCTTAAGAGGTAGAGGAGCCAAATGGCTGGCTCACTGCTGCCAACTAGTGGTCAGAGGCTGAACTACAACATAAAAATGAATGCTTGGCAAGATGGTTGACATTTTAAACCTTAATTAAAAATTGATACAGGGCTTTAGAATATCAATACAGTATCGGGAAATGAAATATCGCGATATTTCAGTGTATTGATTATATTTTCTTACACCCCTAGTGTTTACAGCTCCAAAACACAAGTCCAGTTGCTTCATCTTTTTACTTTTCATTTTCCGCGTAGATAGTATGATAATAACGATGTCCAGCCTGGGTCGCGGAGAGTATCGATCCTAAAGTTAGCTACTCGGTCGATACTTTTTTCCAGCTCGTAGTTTCGTCCAAAAAAAAAGCTTCACTGGAGCATCCTGGTCAGAGGCAGGTTCAGATATAAACACTGAACTCAAGAAGCAGGTCAGATAATTATTTAATCATCTCTGATTAAACAACAACTTCCGATTTGATGCGCAAAATGTAGCATCCATGCTAGCTCTGTAAACAAACAAGCCGGCTGATGAGACATCACGTCTTTTACTGCGCATGCGTGTCACATCAGTGCTGTGCAGCGTTCACACAGGGGTCTGATGCAGGTCACATTTAAAATGTAATGTGAACGTTCACACAAAAAGATCGGATTTTTTCAAAAAATCGGAACTGAGCATTAAGACCTGCAGTGTGAACGTAGCCATAGTTCATGCAAGAACAAATGACGTTTTTCCTGGAGTATAAATTACGGCTGTCCAAGAGAGCGATAATATTTTTAAATACTGCGATGATGATGCCAGGTGTGATATGTCTCCCCCCGCCCCATCTGTACTTCCTACATTTCGTGACCTTTAGCATTTTTGGCAATTGTGTTTGGTGTCCGGTTTGCCTGACCCGGTGACTCTCTCCTACTGTATAAATATTGCAATAGCATAAAAATACAACTTCAAAACTCTTCATATACATTAGTCGTCGATAATTATTACACTCCAAACAGTTCTTTGCCGAATGAATATCGTGCACAACAGACAGTGCAGCCCTAGTATAAATCCAGCTCAAGTTTTTGACGGGTAAATATGTGGAAACATGTCAGCCTAAATCATCATATCATAGTAGAGGGGATGTATGCCATCACTTCAGACTCCTCATGACAACACAACATTTTAGCTGGATGTGTAGAATCAGCTGTTTTGCTTGAAAAAACAAACTATAGTCGATCAGGTGAAGCATTTTTACAACATGGTTATTTCTCAGTTGAAGCCTGTTACCTCTCAATTTATTCATTTTTTTAAGTCAACTTTTGTCTTTAACAGCTTTTCACAAAAAAGAAAAACAAAAAATTGCTAATTAAAGTACAAACTGTTGACAAAGTTATTTGTGTATTTAACTGCATCAGACTGAGGTGAGAAATTCTTGTTTTGCAGCACAGACTGAAAAAGTGTCTCCACAGGCGTGGAGAAAACAAACACAGATTTCTTTTTTTCATTATAAGCCATAATAATCAAAATTACAATAAAGGCTTGAAATATTTCGTTTGGTGTAATGAATCTATTTAATGAGTTTCACTATCTGAAATGACTGACAAAAAATATAGTTTTTATTTGTTTTGCAATATTCAATTTATTTATTTTTTGCTGCACCTGTAAATGATAAAAAGTTAAGTTCATGTTTCTGTATGTGCTTGTTGTGCCATGCATTTGAACTTTAATGAAATCTAATGCATCTTTTTTTCTGTGTGTTTGCCCAGGTTCTACATCACATCACATTTCCCACACGCTTATGCTATATCTGGTGGTGTCAAGGACCAACTAACTGTGTGACAGATTGTTGACTCTTCTGGGACATTAGATTCAGTAATAATAGGAACATGTGTTTTACAACTTTCTTACATCTATGACAGAAAATCAAAGAGCACATTTTGTTTTAGCCAAGATTTAAAGATTGTGTATTTTCTCCATTTTCATTGGGGATTGCTTCGATCTGAAGCTGCTTTAGCCTGTTTGTTACTTGTAAAATGTTAACATTTAGCTAGCTACATATGATTAGGCCACTATCTTTCTTAACCATCTCTGGCCCCTACAAGGGGGTAAAAAGTCAACTTCGTGCCTTCATACCCCATAATTTTCTTCCAGGTTTTCAGACACTCATTCCCCAAAAAGTTATACATAGCAGTGCCTTTTTAAAATCATTATTTCAGGTCAAATACGCTTTTTGAATTTATATCCCTTTCTTAAGTAGTCACAATTCAAGTCTTTACTCCACAGAGTTCTGTAACATTTGATAGTCAAGCTGCGAGGCAGTGGTTTTGGTGATTGATTTGGTTGCATGGAATCGGCTTAATCGTGGAGAGGCCAGGGTACCACAAACTGATGGACTTTGACAAACGAGCAGTAGGAGGAGGTGGGGGTGGAGGAGGAGGAGGAGGAGGAGGAGGGGGGAAAGGGGAGACAGAGGATGGCAAGAAGATGCCTGTAAAGACTGGGAGCCGATCAGGGCAAAGCGGCCGGGGTGCTGGCTCCGGCTCTGGAGTTCTGATGGTTGGACCAAACTTCAGAGTAGGCAAGAAGATTGGCTGCGGGAACTTTGGAGAGCTACGACTTGGCAAGAATCTTTACACCAATGAATATGTGGCCATAAAACTGGTAAATGTCACTTTTTTTTTTCAAAACATTGTTAACAAAGAAATTCCAATTCTCAAATTTGTTTATAAAATAGAGTTGATCTAAATCAGGGGTCCCCAAACATTTTCCCCGAGAGGGCCAAAATGAAAATCTATCCAGGGGCTGCGGTCCAAATGCAGTAATATAATACATAAATACAAATACTTTATAAGTAAAGTCCTTTATTTTTAACTATTAAGCTATGCAATGGTCCTCTTTTGTTTTAGTCTGTGCACTTGGTCTGCCAAACGCTCAAGTAGCAAAGGCTCATGGGACATTTCATAAATTGATAAAATATGAGTTTTTGTGGCCTTATAAAGTGTGAAAATTTACATGTGGGGTTAAATCTGATCTAAATATCTCTTTTTGTTACTTCATGTTTCATGTTTAATCCTAATATATCAAAGATAAAGTCAGCGCATGAATGAAAACTACCTCTACTACAGCCCTTTTATATAGTCATTTGACCAATGGAAACACTGGGTTTCTAGATAGGATGACAGGCTACAACCTTGTAACTTTGGCAACTGTTGGTGGGCCAAATCAAATGGCTTGGTGGGCCAAATTTGACCCGCGGGCCCCACTTTGGGCTCCTCTGGTTTAAATGGATGAAAATATCAGCCACCGATGATTGGAGTCTGTCGAGGAATAGCTTTTTTATGGATGATATTTTCTACTTAATTTTAGCAGTTTAACTGGCTTCTTAAGAGTTTTGACCTGTGAATGACCAAATCCAAACATATACACAATGGGCCTCATGCAAGAACCATTCGTACGCACAGATTTGTTCTTAAGTTGTGCGTACGAG